CGCACCCCAGACCCCCTTTTGCCTGACCCCTATATAAGCTTTGTTCTGCTGCCTGGGGGTCTCTTACTCCACTGCTGTGTCGGACAGATGGGAAACCAGGGTTCAAATTCACAATTAAAAAGACTCTTTGCTTTTTGCATTGGATCTGGTCTCTTGGTAGTCTTTGGGGGTCCGGACTCTGGGTACAACACCTTAAGCTATTCTTTTATTGTTCAGGATTATTATTTTATTATATATTATTGCATTATTATTGTTTTTGCTATCCTGGATATTTTGTTTTTCCATATGAAGTTGAGAATTGTCCTTTCAAGGTCTATAAAGAGTTGTGTTGGAATTTTGATGGAGATTGCATTGAATCTTTAGGTTGTTTTTGATAGAATGACCATTATAACTATGTGAATCCTACCAATCCATGAACATAGGATATCTTTCCATCTTCTGATATCTTCAATTTCTTTCTTCAAAGGTCTTATGAGTGACCACTGTGAGCACAGACACCATGTTTAGGTGGCTGATAGGATCTATTGAAGCCACAGTTAAATTCTGGCTAGTTGCTGAGACCATTGCAAGCATGTTTCTTTCTCCTCCACTCCTCTCTCTCTCTCTCTCTCTCTCTCTCTCTCTCTCTCTCTCTCCCTCCCTCCCTCCCTCCCTTTCTCTCTGTGTCTTCTGTGTGCTTGTGTGTTTTCATCTATAGATCCATTTCTGTGTATAGTTGTCCTTGAGAAACTCTCTTAATGAGATACCATGGGATGGAACCAAGGGGCACACTGTAAGTTGAGACCATTCACAGTGATCCTAGGTCCAGAGGTTCTACCATCTACCATTATAAAAGACCGAGTTTCCATGTAGAGCTCAGTTGTAGAGTGCTGGTCCGGTATAGACCATGTTCTGAGTTAGACTTAGCACTGTACAGATATAAAAGGAAGGCCAAAAAAAAAATTCATCTAAACACATAGGAGGTGGAGGAAGCAGAAGTTTGAAGTCACTCTTAGATACATAACAGATTCACTCACCTTTGGACTGGAATACAGGCCTTGAATCAAAAGAATCAAATGAACCAAATATAAAAATGCCCCGAGGGACAGAAATTGCGCCACAAAAAGATGTTTCTCCTAATCACTCGTGTGTGTGTGTGTGTGTTGGTCTTTCAGTGTGTGCAGATGCACTTGCTTACACATACATTCATTCTGTGTATGTGCATGCAGAAGCCCCAGGATTACCTCAGTGTTTGATCCTCAGATATATTCACCCTGTTTTTTTTTTTTTCTGACAGGTTTTCTCATCTGTATCATCTGTATTAAGGTCTCAGTGGCTCAGCTTGGCTGCCTGGCTGGACTGTGAGCCTCAAGAAGCAGCAGATCTCCACTCTGGAAGTGGTTAGATTACACACGTCACCATAGGTGTTTGTTGTTGGGGGGGAGTTGGAAGTCAAGGCCTCATGATTGCCCACCTAGCACATCACAGACAAGGCCCTTGCAAGCTTTTCTTTTCTGCCTCTCCCCCCACCCCAGTTTCCCTGCATCTTCCTGTGTCTCCCTGATTACTGAAGCATGTCTGTGCAGACTGCTGGGAAGCGGGAGCAGGGACATCTGAACTAAGCTGCCTTCTCTGGCCTTTGTTGTTTTATTGACCTGTAAACATTTCCCTCTGGCGTTGGTAGCATTATATCCCTTGGGGTTTCTTTTTCATTTGCCCCTCCCAGAAAATATGTTTTGTTCCCACCAACCAAAGCTCTGTGACCTTGTGACCCTAAGCATCCAAGGCTTTCTTTAGCTCCTTCCTGTACTATCCATGTTAGTCCAGTCAAGAAGCCAATTGCCTGGTTCCCACGTCATTTGATAAAATGGATGTCAATCTGTTCCGTTGGTTTAGTTATAAAAACTAATAACCAATGATTTGTGGATCATCAGAAGAGGGGAACAGTTGCCTGGTGATGCAATTCTGCTTCTATAGCTCCTAGCATCTTTGAATGCATGGAGTTGGCCCAGCTAGGAGCTGGCCAGACCCCTGCAAAGAAGGCCTTTGCATCAGCATCTCAAGACATGTCACAGCACAAAAGGAACTCTTCTTGATGAACTAGTAGGGGAGATTTGCACTCATAACTATGCTGTGCCGGCCAGGCTCACTGTCCTGAAAATTGTTCTCCCTGGTTATTTCTAACTCATCAGTTGTCTGGAGAGTTTGCGGATGATCGAAGGAATGTGTGGGAGCTGATGGAGGACGTAGAGGGTACTTAGTGTAGGGCTCCTATTTTGCATCTCAGGAACATGAAGCTGAGTTTGACTGGCTGACACTGCTAATGCAACCACATGTGGAAACGAATATTGCGCAGGATCTTAGGAGCAGTCTCAGGTCAGGGACAGACACACACCCGATGACAGATTAAGATGCGACTCTTTCTGTGAGGTTGCCAAAGGGATGCGGCGGTGAGGAGGACCCGGTCAGAGGAAGAAAAGGATGAAAACTGACAGCCGTGACTGACAGCTGCCAGGGCAGACAGTGCTCTATGCAGCTCTCTGCATTCAGCCTTGGACGATAATCCAACTTTCCTGGATCCTAAGAAAAATTGATTTATGACAGGGTGCTGGATTCTGACACTGTCAAGTGTTTGCACGCAGGCTCAGCAACAACTCTGTGACCATGCTGCAGACATGGCACGTCAGGGCTTCAGAACCAGCTGCCAATAAGAAAGACAAATGTGTCTTCACATTTGTCAAGTGTCAATGCCAAAGCTTCGTGCTGGAATAGCTCCAGAAAGTGCATGCCACGGTGAAGAGCACACAGGGTTAGAAGATTTTGACTGAGAAGCAAGTGACCTGATATTTCTCTTCGCTTGTGTTTGGATGTCATGGGTTTCTTTCAAGGAGAAACAATGGGCCAGGATATTAATCCAGTGAGCATTTAATAAAATAATTTCCACACCAGGCCTGTAGAAATCTCGTTTAAATTACAGAGATAGTTACACTGTTAAAGTTTCTTCCAGTGACCTGCATTTGAATGCCAGGGCGGATGCACATGCACGGGGTCCACAGCACTGAGGTGTTGTGGTCAAGCCTCCTATAAGAAGCCAAGGACTGCTGGGCTGGGTCCCTCCCAGCCAGCCAGTCGAGAAGAATTCATCCTGCTGCTCTTCAGATTCCAGACACTCCATCATGCTCTTCAGCAGACACATCTGATGAGACAAAAATCAGATTCACCCACATTTATGCACGAATCATTCACTAGAATGTTGCTGAACAAAAAGCACGTTAGCAGGTTGAGAAACAGATCTCACACATCAGAACAATCATTTGTGAACGATGAAATGTCCTCTAATGGTTTTCTCTAGTTCCCCTTGCCGTACGCCCTGTCTTGGGTGTCCTGTCTAGATAGGGCTGTCTGACTTCGTGAGTGTGTTCTGGAGCACGTGCACGTGTTGGCTCAGGTGTGAACAGTGAGGGGTCCTTGTTTTCTGAGAACTTTGCCCTGAAACTGGAGGTGAGAAATGTGGCCCAAGCATCTGCTACAGGGGAGTGCAAAGGAGTCTGTCTCCTTCTGGCTCCACTGGCGTGAGATTGTAGGCTCTTGCTGCCATGCAAGGCTTTCATGTGTTGCCACATCTGAGCACATGTCCTCATCTTTGCAGAATCAATGGTCGGTTTAGGTGAGCTATCATCCCTGGCACAAGAAGGGAAGCGTGGATGGCTAGGTTCTCACGTCATTATATCTCTCACGAGCGTGTATTACGTACAGTACAGGCAGCATGTGGCTCATAGACCTTTGTGGTGGTCGATCCCATGCTGCAGCTCTGTACGAGAAGCAAGAGCAGCTGGAGACGGAGTCTAGTCCCTGCACTGCGGGGTTGGAAGCACTTGAGGGGACGTACAAAGGGCACACAAGTGTTCCTCTCCCGTGATGAGCAAAATCCCTAAGATGAAGGCATTGAAAGGAAGTAACCTGGCCTATTGGGAGGTGACTCTAAGAGATTCTGTAACTTTTTATCTGTCAGGAACACATTTCCTTCACATTGCCTGGGGTTAGGCAGCCTTTGCCTTGAGGGGAGATGGGCAGACCTATGCCTTAGGTTCTCATTGTAACAGAGTGTTCAGTCTGAATACCCTGGTTCCCAGAGCTATTCAACCACGACAAGAAATAATTGATTAGGTGATGTTTACCCCGAGTTTACCATTTCTACCACTTCTTCCAAGGCCTCATGAGGAAGATTGTGAAAATCTTTCATTGTTTGCTAAGAAAACTTTCCTAATCCAAGAAGCTCACTGAAAGAATATTCCCTAAATACTGTGGTACTCTGCACTAGCCATGACTTATGCTTGTATTGACCTAGTATGTCATGGATACTATGTCAGGGGCCAGGATTCACTGACGCTGATCTCCCATGTCTTTGGGCCAGGTTCCACACGGCATGGCAAGGTTGACAGGCTGCCACTGGGGTCAGATTTCCATTGTCACACACGGCAGACCACTGGTAGTTTTGTGAGTCTGTCTCTCCATGAGAATTGTGGGGTCTGCTTGTTATTTGTTCTTTTCCAGAGACACAGTCTCAGGATCTAACCTGTTCTGACCTTGTGTGGTGGTCATGAGACATCCAACATGGGTTCAGGGAGCCAAACCTGGGGCCAGTGTGAATGCAGCTTCCTCCAAAAAGTTTCTGAGGGAAAGAAATGGATCCCAATAGTCTCTTCTCATATCTTCCTAAGATGATCATGAGGGACAAGGCTGGAAAACGTTGAGGATGTTTCCTAGAACACCTGCTGGGGAAGAGAGACACGGTGACACTTCTGCTCCCTGAAAATGCCACCAGAGCACAGGGGGGCGATTTCACCAGTCAGAACACGGTGTACTGTTTCCCTAAGGAACCTCGTGAAGTACCTAGATAGTTTGTGGCATTATTTTGAATGAGAATGGACCCTATAGATGCACATATTTGGATACTTAGCCCGCAGATTGTGAAACACTTTGGGAAGGATCAGAAGGTTGATTGGAGGAGGTGTGTCCCTAGGGGGTCACAAAGCATTAAGGATTCAAAAGCCAAAACCATTCCAAGTAAGCTCTCTCTCCACAAATCTGTCTCTGTCTGTCTGTCTGTCTCTCTCTCTCTCTGACTATGCTTGAGAATCAGATGTAAACTATTAGTGACTGCTCTAACAAAATGACAGCCTGCCTATTGCTATATTGCCTTTCCTAGAATGGTCACATATTCTAAGCCTTTAGAAATGTCGACCATACATAACACGCTTTCTCTTATAAGTTGTCTGAGTCATAGTATTGTCATAGCCATGAACTAGAAACAAAGAAACAAACAATGCAGGAATAGATCAACTCAGTAAGCAGATGCTGGAAAAGAAAGCATTTTGTGTCTTTCTGCACCTTGTTCCTGTCTCCTAGGCCCTAGAACAGCTGGGAAAGGCTTCAGGGCTACAATAACACAAGAGCCAAGTTCTCATTATGAGGACCCACTGCGTCATCGTCGCCACAAGGTGGAGCAGTGTAGACTGTCATAGCAGCTTGGTCTTGGCTACAGGTATGGTTCAGGAACTCTTTTCCAGAGAAATTGCTGAGCTTGCACAGAGGTCCACATTCCCAGTGACCAAGACTAGGAGCCTCTGCAGAGGAAAAAAAGATCAATTTCATTGCCGTGTTATGGCAGATCAGATAGCAGAATCTTATCTTGCACCACAAAGAGATACTTAGTGACGTCAAACCACTTCATCTGAGTGGTCTCCAAAAATCAGGCACTTACATTCCTGTTACCAGCACTTCCTGCTGACCCAGAAAGCTGCCCCCTACCTGAAAGGTGCCAGGGGGACACTGCAGATACCTCACTCAGTAGGGCTGCGCACACACTACCACATGTTGGTTTTTGCAGCTCTGTGGCAATTAGGTGTCCTTCTATTCTTGACCCTGAAGGTGGACACCGGGATCAGAGAAGTGCCAAGGATGCCGGGCTTGCCTGGGCAGTGATGCTCCACAGCGCTGTCAAGCACTACTTCCCTATTCACAGTAGACAGAACGATCGTAGACTCTCACTCCAAGTCAAGGAATCCCCCACGGGATTTATCTGTTTGAATAATCCTTGCATGGGAGAACAGCACCTTGGGGTCTGAAGGAAGGAGGCTGAGAAGACAAAGACACAGACATCACCAGATCAATCCAAGACTGGGTCAAGCAGAAAGAGGAAGAGGCTCCTGAAAACATGTGGCTTCTCTTCTCTGCAGCCACACCCTGTCTGAGCACCTCAGGACGAGAGCAGATTTCTCACACAGCATTCATCTGCTCAGCTTGGAGCAAGCTGGAACCCATGAGGAAGATAGGGTCTTCTCAGGGTACCCAAGCATCACTCGCTCCTAATCTCCTTTCAGGGGAATTCTGCTCCTCTCCTTGGTTGTGGCCCTTGTCACCACCCACACATTCATCCCTTGCTTCTCTGCTGCCAGAATGGAATTTCCTCTGGAGAAATCACCTCCTCCCCATCCAGATGCAAGCCCTTTCTTCTGCCTTCTCTCACTGCTTTTATCCCTTGACAAGTCCCACTTGCCCCACTCTTCCTTCCACCCTCCTCTTCCTGTGCCTCCTTACCACCTAAGAGGAAAGTGTGCAAGCATTTCTTTACATGCACTCATTGATTCTGTTGATGGAAATGAGGGGAGAAGGAGATGGGGACCCAGAGTCATGTGGGGCACTTACTTCTGTCACATGGACCACAGAGGAGGGATGGCTGCCTCTTAATAACAAGGTGGTTATATAGCTGGCTTCTCTGTCCAGTCACTAGTGCTAGAGGAACAATGCTCTTCAAACAGTGGGGAGATGGTTGCTCATACTCTGCAGGAGAGGAGGGTACAGAGAAGGCGACCTGGTTGCTGGAGGTGTCTGGCAGGGAACAACAGGTTTGGGGTACACTTCCTTTCAAGTTCTGGCCTAGCTCTTCCGGGGCTGTTAAGTCACACCAGGCCGAACACAGATCAATGGTTTAGGAACCATGGGCCTGGGCCTCATCTTTAACCCTTGAAAGAAGACACAAACAAAGGACTATGTTAGTGATTTTGACATAGAAGGACTTAGCAAAGAGCTGCCTTGTGGTACCATAGCTCTCCACAGGCTTCTTCCCTTCCTAAATTGTTGTCCCTTTGACAAAGCCCTCCTCCCTCCTGTCTCCCTCCATCCCCAGCCCCTGACAACATCCTCTGCTGTCTGCTTCTGGTTCAACTACCCCAGATTCCTTATGGGCAGGATTCAGCGTGAAGCTCCTTTTGGGGCTCTAGACACCTTAAGGTTTGTGTCCTATAAAGGGCTGCAGCCTGGGAGTGGCAAAGTGTCTTTGAAAAAGACATATGTGAATTTTCTGGCCCTGCCCACTCCATTTCCTTGGCACTCCATCTTCCATTCCTTGTTATCCCTTACCTGGATGTTGTGTCTTTTGTCCTGGGGGTGGGGAAACAGCAACAAAACCTTCTAAACAGGTTCCTAATCTGCCTCCTTGTTCCTTCCAGTCCCTTCTGCTGTGCTTCTTGGAGTCGGGGTGCCTCCTGGGGCTGCTCATTTGCAGATGCTGAAGCATGTCTTTGACAATTTCATGTTGGTTGTTTCCATGATGGGGAGGGGACACATCATATATGTGATCCTGCGCCATCTGGCTGATAATGTCTGCACTGGTGGTGTTGTTCTCTCTAATGTCAGTGACATCCTCTGGTCCTCTGGTAGTCGGTGTCCTCCGAGAACCCTAAGACCTCCGGAGTCTTGAGAATAAAAGTGAAGGTGCTGCCAGTCTTGTCCATCTCAGCCTCCACATGTGTCCCCTTACTTGTGTCACCAAATGGGGCCGCATTTTTTGTCTCCTCAGACTTGCTTAATGCCTTCAACAATCACCCCGTGGGGCAGAATTCACAGGTGAGTTCATATCTGATGTATAAGGTCCGGTGAGCTGGACCTAGAGAAGCCCTTGCTACCTTTCTCATTTACCTCCTGCACTTTGTTGCCTTTTGCTGATGCCATGAACCCTGGGAGAGTCAGCTCACTGCATCTCCTCTTTAAGGGAAAGGGAGGGAGGATGAGGTGATGTGCAGGCTTCCCGATGGAGCGGATCTTTTGCTGATGTCCTATTCGCCCAAGGATGTAAATTTTTCTCTGGTACAGGATAACATTTTGGGACAGAGACTTAAAAAATTCTCTTTGTTCCAGTAGTTTCCAAAGTTGTCCTCTGCCATGTGGCTGAGGAACACGATGTTCCCAGGGTGGAGACGTACCACCTTGAACCTATCTGTCTGGATGCTGGTGATGAATTGGCGTCACTGAGAGCCCTCCATGATATTTCCTCTACCTTATCAGGAGGAGAATGGCACCACCACAAGATGCTAGAAATAAAAACAACAAAACAAAACAAAATCAGCTCTAGGAGACAAGGTTATGGCTACCAATCTGTAGGTCATGAAAACGAAAGGCCTCTCCAGCATCCTAATGAGGCATCTTGGGGTCAAAGTTAAAACAACAACAACAACAACAAACCAAACCCCAAAGCAGTTATGAGAAAGCAAAAGAAAGATCAGAGCTGAAAATAACTGGACACTTGGCTGATTAAACAAAGGTCAGAGAAACAAAGAGTTGGTCCTTTGAAAGAACCAACAAATCTGACAACCCTTGACCTGAGTCACCCAAAGGAAGATACAAATTACTGAATGTGAGACAGGAAAGAGATGAGTATGATCCATGGAAACTCTAGGGGCTGCGAGAAAACCTTGTATTCCAAAGAGTTGACAACCCTCAAAGAAAGAGATTGCTCAATCCACAAAAGGACGCCAACATTGATATAAGAGGTTACCAAACATGCACCAGCTGCTGCCTTTCCTCTGTTACACCTCAAAATCCCTCAGAGCATGTTTTGTCTCATGAGTGGCATGGTGGCAGAGGAAGAGTCTTACAATGATAAGGGAATTGATAAGCCCAGGGAAATGCTGTGGGAAGTAACAAAGTTGGTGAGTTGGGTCCAAGTGCATGGTACGGTCAAACTATTTTCTGAAGCTAATATGTACTGACAAAAGCTTTAGGTTAAGAAATAAAGCAATGCACAAAATGTCAAAGATAAATGAATAGACAGCAATACAAATATGGATGATAACAAAAATAACTGAAGCAAATGCACAAAGTAAAACCCAAACTACAAACAGTAAACCAAAATCTATGCCCCAATACCACCCCGCCCCCATTCCCTCCACAGGTAACAAACTCATTGTGTTCAGGGCAGTGGCGATCACCAATGTTCAATTCCAAAGATGGATACTAACAAACTAAAGCTCTCAGAACAAAATTCTGAGTCCCAGTGCTTTGTAGCCTACTAACAGCTTTACTGCAGTATAAGAACAAGGTCTAGGTCAAGCTGGTCCCTTACATGGGCTGGGGACTGTCTTTCCTCACAGTGAGACAACTGTTATCACTGCATTTATAGTCTCCCTGATCTCTTAAGGACCAACCACGTCCAGCCAGGCCATTCATCAAAGAGTTTCCTAATTACTCAAACAGGACTACCTAAGGGGACCAAGGGATCAAGCACATGAGACAGTATAAGATATGTCATATTCAACCCAAGACAAAGACCTTTTACCTTTAATGGTGTGTGTGTGTGTGTGTGTGTGTGTGTGTGTGTGTGTGTGTGTATGGAGAGAGAGAGAGAGAGAGAGAGAGAGAGAGAGAGAGAGAGAGATTTACTGTGTAATATGTGATGGATCACTACTATTCCTGTCTAAAGTCGGGATAACTGAAGATGCTCACCGAAGCAGAGGTATTAAGAAAGTGAGACTGATGCATCCCTGCCTTTGAAACATCCATTCCCTGTCAATTTGTTATTCGGTAAATTCTGGTATAGTGGAAAGATGTAGTATTCCTTTGTGTTTGTGACAAAGTGTGCTTAGGACACATCCTCTCTTTAGGGGTGTATAAGTTTTTGGGGACACCTTCCACTCAGCTGAGCTGAGCCTTGGCATACAGCTGTTCACTATTCTTTTTCTTCAAATAATCCTAGCTCCACCACCACCTCCCTTCTCTGCCAGACCCAATTCCCCCCAATTTCCTCCTCAGAAAAGGGCAGGGTCTCCATGAGATAAAAGCAAAGCACGACAAAGAAAGATACAAGGAGACAAGACAAAGGCCTCCTGTGAAGGAGAAAAAAGGCAACCCTATGTGAAGAAAAGAGTCTCAAGAGCAGGCATAAGAGTCAGAGAAACACAAGCTCCTATTAGAAGTCCCACAAAAACACCAAGATAACAACCCATAACATCTACACAGAGAACCTGGGACAGACCCATGCAGGTCCTGGGCTTGTAGCTTCCATTTCTGTGAGCCCCTGAGTCCTACTTAGTTTCTTTGGTGGGACATGTCAAATTTCCTTATTTCAATTGAGTGCTCTCTTTAATAAGAAACATGACAAAGACACTAGCCTATGACTGTCAACATTAATATCTGGGCTAACAGCTTCTACTGGTGAAAAAGATACTCTAAGAATGTCAGAATCAGAGAACAACACAAGCTAAGGATGCTGTACATCAAACACCAATAGACACAAAGTCCACCCTGACCACTTGCATATTTGGGAAGTATAATCAAGTTACTTTTTTTGTTAATGTGACAAAAGGCCTGACGATAATACCAGCAGGGTCCATTTTGGCTCACATTGATGGCTCAGTCTGTACCAGTAGAGTCCATGTCCTTCCCCTCTCACAGGTCTCACCAGGCTCCTGCAGAGACACTGCCTATGCATCTTCAGCCAAGACATTTCCAAAACCATGGTTGTTATTGCAATATTTTGTTTATGTTTTAATAAATAAAGCTTGCCTAAAGATCATCTCCCTACAACAATTGGCGCCCAACATGGTCAACTAAATCCACCTAAAACCTGAAGTCGGGGTGGGTGTAGTTCATCACCAACAGGGATGATCTGAACATGGCCGTAGATAAAAATGTAAGAAGAATGCAGAAGGAAGGGCAGCTTCAGACTTCATTGCTGTTTTGAATCAGAGGATCCAAACTTTAATTTATAGACTTTAAACTTGACCAAGTCAGGCCCACCAAGACATCTCAGTTTGGGCCATTTCTTAGGAAAATGACCTGTAAACTATGCCAAGTCCCTTCACACTATCACCTGGGTCATGTTTAGTGAGGTAACTCCTGGGATGTGTGCAGGCTCCACAGGGCACTACTCTCCACCTCCCTCTTCTTCCCACCAGGGAGCTATCCTAAAAGCATGTCCTATGGAGACACATACTAGGAGGGAAGTTACAGCCCACAGTTGAATTGAGCCAAGGTGACAGGCACAGAGCTATCTCTCTTGGAACTTGCAGCTTTGACCAGATGTGCTTTACTTCCCTTTGGTTTTGGTTTGGTTTTTACATTTATTTCTGAACTCATACCATGGCATATATGTGGCTGTCTGAGGACAACTGAAGGAGTCAGACCTGTGTCCATGTGGATTCCAGGGATTGAACTTTTGCCATCAGACTTGCCAGGAAGTACCATGTCACTGTCAGGTCCAAAGTGGGAAACTGTACCTGTTGGTTTAATGTCAATTTGACACAAACTGGAATCATCAGAGAGGAGGGAGCTTCAACTGAGAAAATACCTCCATAAAATCCAGCTGTAGGCAGGCTTAAAGGGTATGATCTTACCTAATAATTTATGGGGAAGAGCCCAGCCCCGTATGGATGGTGCCATCCTGGGACTGGTGGTCCTGGGTTTGTATAACAAAGCAGGCTGAGCAAGCCATGCAGAGCAATCCAATAAGCAGCATACTCTATGGTTTCTGCATCATCCTCTGCCTCCAGCTGCCTGCCATGCTTAAGTTCCCGTTCTGGATTCCATTGATTATCCACTGTGATGTGGAAGAGGAAGATGAATAAATGCTTTCCTCCCAAGTTGCTTTGGTCATAGTGTTCCATTAAAGCTATACTAATCCTAGCTGAGACAGGCCCCAAGGCCCAAAATGACAGTCTGGGCTCACGGGAAGCTGGATTTTGACTGGGCAAACAGACGGATTGCTAGTGGAAAAGCAAAAGTGTAAAATCAAAATTCTCAGAAACTTGTGAATGAGTTTCTGTTTGTCAGGAAGAGCCATTAATGCCCTTATCTGCACATTCATGATACTGGAGTCAAACCTGTGAGAGAAACTCATACGAAAAGTAGGTTTGCAGAAAGAAGCTGAGATGAATTTCCCCTAAGACGAGCTTTATAGGAAAGAGAGCAAGAGGAAAATTGGCAGCTAAGCTCACGTTCAGGCCTTGAAGAGGGGAAAGAGAAGAAATGGGAAGCTATTCCAGAGGCAGCATGATGGGGTCTAGGCAGGAAGGGGACGGGCAAGAGTGGGAGACAGAGGAGGCATGGGAGGCTTCCCTCTAGAACCTGGACAGGAGGTGCATTAGGAAAATGAGCATTTTAACAGACAGAATGTGGAATAATGAAGGAAGGAGAAATGATAAAGCCCCCTCCCAAAGCTGAACCAGACTGGACAGTTACCATGTACAATATTGCAGAAGTTGATGGACCAGACTGACTCCATCTTGAGGACGGAAGCCATTTTCCTATAAGGTCACAACAAGATGACTTCTGTTTGCTGCAAAATTCAGCCGACCATGTTTAACCTGCTTTTGAATTTGACATGCTCCCAACACAATGGAGTTTGACTCACACCATGAATATATCCTGATAAGATGTTCTGCAAAATAATTTTAAAATGTTCAGCCAAGTTCTTACATAAGCAAAATTTCTCTGGAAATCTCCCAACCCTTGAAAAGCCCCTAGCCTTGCAGTTTTTTGGACAATGCAAACTCCACCTTCTCCTATATTTGATGCTATTTTGTTTTCAACTCCTGATGTAGGGAGATAGCCCTGTCTTGACAGAAAATAAAGGTTGGTTGTTTTGACTATAAAATTAGGGTAATGGTCTTTACTCTCACTTGGTGGGCTTAACAAAGTCAGAGGATTGAGGTATCAGTTTCTAATATCACACCATGTGAACTAGCTGCACACACAAAGAGAGTGGGGACAAGGTAGGTCTATGAGATTACTCTGCTAATGATAGGGAAATGGAAAACTGCAAGCCCACAGGAAGTTTCTTACCAACTCTGTGTCTCAGAGACAGCTGTGGGGAACAGGGCACATGCTGTATTCTGAGAAGGGGGAGACACTTGGAGGGCCTATAACGTAGCACAGCCCCAGAACTGTCTGAAGTCAGTGTGCCCAGCCTGGCATAAATCATGTTTTACTTTGTCTACATGACTTGGGAGCCTTAAGCTCCTTCTTTCTTTCCTTTTTATTTGTGAACTGTCCCACTTTCCTTTGAAGGGAGAGCATTACACCTTCTCTTCAGCAG